TTTTAGTTAACACAACCTTTCCACTAGACTCTGCTAGAGTATTAATTTGTCCTCGAGCCCAACTGTGGTACAGTGATTACGATGCACCATATAGTTACGCTAGTTGTCAGGCCTAGAGTTCGTTCTATGCACATGCCACGTAGCGTAACTAAATGTTATGAGTTTTCGGGTTCTGCTCCGAATGAATGATTGTGCCCTTGCAAAACGAAGCAGCTTCTTGACCGATGCAGATTAAAGCAGATCACTGAAATTGACAGTAAAATTCAACAAAGTATTTTAATGCAACATTCGTCCGGGATCTCCCAGCTGGCATCTCCCACAAGTTCTGCCAGTGTGTCGTAACGGGTGATTTCTCGAAACAAGTTAGTATGTTCTTGTGCATACTCCGCATAACACACAAAGTCGTAAATTATGGTTACGTGGTCGCTCCTCCCAAGTGGGCTCTCCATCTTAGGTTATCTAACCATGAGCTCTTCGTTCGCGAGCACTAAATCAAACAAAGTTGATTTGTTTTCGGCTCTGAATCGGTTGGGTGAACTGACATGGCTGAAGAGCGGAATGCTTGCAATATGCTCTTGCAAGTCGGCCTTAAACTGTTACTTGTGGGTTCCAGAAATTGCAAATCCGAATATTGCGCTCACCTGAGATGAGAACATGACTGTATCGTCCTCGTAAGACCATTGCCAAGGATGATACCAGGCGTGAGTCTATCTATGGGGTGGACATCGGGGAAAATAAACCACGGCCAAATGACGAGTGTCGTTGCGTCTCAGTCGCGGCCTGTACCAGAATTAGTCCATAATCAGCGCTTCCGGATCGGCCACCGGTTCGCACTGCAGGTCGTTGCGGTAATGTAACAGCTCCCGCACTTTCTAGGTCCATCGTTTGGGAGAAGGGACATACCATTTATCGCGACTTCGGCATCGGTAATTTCTGAGTGCAACCAGGTTTACGTAACGAAGTTAAAATACCAGGTTTGTGATGTTTAAAGTAACCGCAGTTTGGTAAGCTTCTTCAGTATATCTTTGCATTGGTGTACCTACTGGAAATTACACTGTTTTTAGCAATTACTCGTGGGATGCCTGTTTGGGGTAGCATGTTGTGCCGAAGGATGAAAGGTCGGCAACTAATCATGTTTTGGATGGGTGATGACAAACTCATCTGTGTCCGATTCATGAATCCTACCATCACCTATTTGCTTTTCTCTTTGCATGTAATGTATGGAGAGTGTTTGCCAATTTCGTTGGCTACTTGATTGAAGTATTCCGAACTCTTGTCAGGAAGTGGTCTGACTAAGTGTCTGCTCTCGTGTGTTTACTTATCAGATGGTGCTTCGATCCGGAGCTCAGGAGAAAGGCTGCTGCGGCCCGCATACCAACCTTCCACTACCATTGCAGACATTTGTCTAGATCGAAGTACCACTCTCACAATCCTTGGGTCACGTCACTTGTAGTTTGTCGATCGGCGCCGCCTTAAAATTGATTACGCTTTGAAGATCTCCAGGGGCAGGGTCTTGCGAATGTACCGCCATTTTGCCTGCTCGTGAGTGTTCGCTTCATGGTCGTCATGAATTGCAGCCTCGGGAACTCCGTGTAAAATGATGGCCCTGGTTACGGATTCCGTTCGACTTTCGTCCAAGTGGTGCTTCGCCTGTCTGCGCTTGCTCGACGGAATATCCGGGAATAGGCGGATAGAACATGACTCATTCCAGAGGCGAGCTGTGGATAACAGGACAGCTTCTGCTTCAGTGGCAGAGGTCAACAAAATGAAGAAGTCTTGCTTCACCGTCGTGCCATGAGTTTGGGTGACGATTAATGCGTGTCAAATTGACGAGCTTAGTTAAAACATCCATATTGTCTTATATTGAATTCCACTGGTCCAGTCATCCAGTTGTTTTCCTTGTAAATAATTTGACTTCGCTTCTGAACGCTTGCTGCAGGCTACCACTGGTATACTACGTGCAACTCTGGCTGAGGAAAAACGATCAGCTGGTCAGTATTTAGTCGATGGTGTCTGTTTGGATACAGATTCGTCCCTGTTGAACCGGTTACGTGAAGTCAAAAAGAGAAAATAGCGAACTCAAAGGGCAAGAAGAGAAAGACGAAAGAGCTAAGCAAGTAGAATATCCTGCTTTTAGAGTCATTAAAAGGGAACCGAAAGTTAAGGCTGAGAAAGTTAGGAAAAAGGAACGTTTTGGTGTTGCAAGCCAAGCGCATCAAGCTGACGCGCAAAACCCTTAACTTTTATTTGTTTAACCACATGATCTGGAAACGAATTCCAGCGCACTACAACTCGGTGCGACAGACGAGTTTCCGTCCCAAGCCAATCAGACCGTGGTTTATGCAGCTTCAGTAGGTGGCCGTGGAGATAAGGTAACTTGGCGGGACTAAATATCTCTGACCAGTCCGAGGCGATCTTACCCGTCAATATATGATATGTGAGAATCAAGTCCCCACTTCTCCCTCGGTAGAGCATGGAGTACATCCCTCAACTAAGCAAGTGTTCAAGATACGTCTGTCCCAGTGGACCCTGCACTAACCTAGACCCACTCGTAACACCCTCTCTAAGTCCATTATGTCTTGGATAAGACATGATGGACAAGCTTGCATACATTATTCTAAGTGGGGTCGTACGAATGCCGCGAATTGGCTTCACAAACAAATTGACCTTTAGGATACTGAAATAGCAGCGGATCAACCACATTATGCGGACAAGCCGGACAAGCAGCCTTCTTCCACTTGCTGCTAGTATGAAGGGCTAGTGAGTGGACGACACATAAATCAATCAGCTAAGTAACAAAAGGGAGTTCACCACAGCCGACAACTTATCGTGTGGTACGAAACTCAGTTCTCATTCGGAGAACAAAGGGGTTTCCCTATACATGATCATCAACCGTAAGGTATACCATTCTCAAAGCCCATACAAGGCACACGGTATTGGCTCGGGATCCACGGGATATTCACAATATTTCAGAGATGAAGGTCGTCAGCAAATATTAGAGAGAAGCCTCCAAGCGCCACCGGCAAGTCATTTACATAGATCGCGTATGACAATGCCCTCAACAAAGAACCCTGCGGGATGCCAACAAGGACAGCTTGCCTAAGCGCAAGGCTACACCCTACGCGTACAAACTGTTCCCTCCCATACAGGAAAGCGGACACTTATTCAAAGGCGCGACCAGATATACCGTAAAGTCTCACATTTAGTGAGCGCCTAATGTACATTGTCTATTAACATAAGAACATATTTTTTGAGTTACATGCGGCAGAGTCAACAAAACTCTGCTCCTATTGGAAACGAGCAGTCCTATGACATTTCCTATATTTTTTCTAATCTGTCGAGAACTATCGAAGGTCCTGGCTGATGGAGCTGCTTGGTAGGTTCGACAGTATCTAGACCGTTTCTTGAGTACGTACTTGACTGTGGTTTCTATCCATGGACGCTGTGCCCGTAACCCTCTTTTCCCCATGAGTGGAATATAGGGAGCGGAAACTTTCTCAACTTATGCCATAAACCTATCTCAAAATAATCGGACAAAATCAGCCATCATGATCTCACAGTTCAGGACTGAATTTGTAGCTCAAATTGCTCTGATGTTCGCCCACTATGTATTCGGATGTGTCGATGTATTTTTTACTTACATCATTTGTTGTACCTTATCAAAGAGGAGAACTCGGACTACTCCACAACTGATTAAATGCGTGCTGCGGACTTAAATGTAAGACAGTTAATATTGGCGTCTTGCAACATTGTTCGCCATAGAACTAGACGTTTACCAGCAGTGGTATGTTACGCGCGTGGTATTGCCACTCAGTAGATGTCTAAGCTATTCGATTTTACTTGTTGTACATCACACCCACATTTTATTCAACACCAGCTTAATAGTGGCATGAGATAAAATAATAGATATTCCCTATTTCCTAAAGCATAGCTTTGAGCGTGCAGAGATATGCTGTGGCATCAACGAGCTGTGTTATGCACTGGATGGGCTAACTCCCCGTAAAAGTGAGGAGTAGAACCTCGTTGCAAATTTAACGGAGTCACAATATTCCGGTTTCAAATGCTGATAGTTAATTTACTAAATGCGCCTGAGCTACCGTTTAGCAATTGCGCTGTTTTACTGACATTATCCAATGCATTAGGCGGCCAAGCAGAATATACACTTTCAAACACTGAACGATATTTCGTTATATAATCATACCCGCTTGATATCGTCTGATGCGGAAAATAGTAATGCTGTCAGAACGTCAGAAATTCTTATTGTTACGGGATGCAATCAGCGCGCCGTACTAACTGTTCGTTCAAGGACACTTTCTTATGTAGACCAGGTATTTAGACAAATTTGGGCTGCACTAAGAAATATGCATCAGAATTAACAGTGGGCATATGGAAAACTCATTGCATTACGCAAAACCATATCTCATTAGTGTGAATGTAACGGAAAAATTTGCTGAAATATTGGCGCACAAAAATAGTAGCGAACATAGTTAAAGGGATGGAGCTGCTCGCAGTTTGCTTCCGATTCTATAGCTACTATCGTGATCATGTAGGAATTTGCTCCTGCATCTCAAGCGGTATGCGTCAAGGCTTTACTTATTCGAGGGATTTGTTGTTCCCATTCAAATTTCCTAAACGATAGTCCAGCCTAGCCTTTAGGCAAAGTTGCTAAAACATTACAATTTGGAGTTCCATTCCCACATGTTTATTACATAAACAATGACACTGACTCAGGTTCTGGTCAACTGCGAAGAAAAAATCAACACACTCTATGCGCGTTACACTAAGGTAACTGAGATATTATTTCATTTGTGCAATAACTAGTGAAATATGTTTCTGCGGACACAATCGTTTGAAAACTTGCATGCAAAGTAGCCAATCAACTCACTAGCCTGGACAATAACATTTATGCTTATGGTTTAATTGGTCGCCAGCTGGGATGGACGTCAACGTAAAAAAATATAAAAACGTAGCAGTTTGGTCTTCTGGTAAGAATTAACAATCCAGGAGTCGGATTGCCTTTTCAATGGCTATGCGTGCCATCTTTCTGCTGGTATGTTGGTATAATGCGATATATTTTGCATAAATGAGTAGCACGTATTTTATCAATTTATGCACATAGATCAGACCAATGCTTGTCAAGTAGATAAGTGCATGGCACTCATTGTGTACCTTGAACGTCAAGGATTTCAGTGTGCAGTTTCAATGCCATTTTAGTTTTCGCGTGCAAACGTTGAGTTCTTCTGTGCAAACCCAACCCTTTGCGACAAGTTTTATAGAGATGGGCCATGAATGAGTAACTGTGTCCACGATCAGGCAGATGCAATTGCTTTACGCACACGCGGTGGAGGACTAAATGGCGAACAACTAAAATATTCATATATATATATATATATAACCTCCTACGTTCCCTGAGGCTCAATATCACTAGTTATGCAGCTAGGTACATTTCTATGAAGCTACACATCACAATGTGTGCTGCAAATACTTTCGTTGCAGTACCTGTATCGTGCAAACTGTCGAGTGATACCACATTCTAGTTTGGTCTTCTGTTGACAAACGCCAGGTGACAAAAGCTATGACTTGCTACGTGTGAGTTACACGATTGTCCATTATACCAAGTGCAGAATTCTACCTAGTTGCCCTTGGTATGCGAGACATACTAGAATTTGTAATACGATTGCTAGATGTAACGCGCAAGTGAAAAGAGCACGAGGATACTCATTGTGGTGTTTCACTAAAACAGTGTGCACATTAGCAGATAAATCGTCACTGATCGCCCAGTCTGGGTAGTCAACTGATTGCCAAAGCATTGGTAATAAATCCGTCCTTCAGATAAAAAAACCTCGTTAAAATTGTTGCACTAATCACATAGATTGATGGCATAATTCAACTGAAGATCTTTCTCCTAACGAAAGTTTCGATTAAAATCACAAACTACAAAAGTACTAAATTCAACCCCAAGTTATCAACGTATCACGCCAACTTTTAAGTATTAGCTGTTTGCACATTACGACAATTTGTGTGCTTCCGCAAATTTCCAATTTTGCCACAAAATACCCAATAGAGTAAAGATTTGCTTTCCACATATTCCAATAACAACTGCCTTTTCTGCAATTTGCTTATCAACAGACAGTGTTCCTTCTGTTGTCGCAAACGGAAATCGAGGCTCGGAGTGTTCAGACTCAGTGCAATGCAATCGCGGCATCCTACAACTCAAATTACGGACGTTATTGCCGAAACTCACGATCAAGTAGCTGCGTTAATTATTTGCAAGCTATGATGCCTGTGTTTCAAGCATGCAGATCGGCAGGGTAACTGAAACACAATGCAACATTCCAAAACCTGTTTCATGTAAGCATTATAAAATTACGACCTAATAAAATTGCTTCGCACAAAATTCGCTGTTTTCAAGTATGCGCCTACTGATCAGTAAGGTGTTTGACTATACCCAAGAATGTAACGGCACTACGATTAAATGCTTGCCAGGGCGCGATAAATAGGGTAAATGCAAGAAAAAGTACAGGTACAAAATGCAGTGCAATGATTGGTACCGAGAAAATCCTATTAGATCGAAGCTACCGGTTTGCAACCTCGTTAGCAATATGCGTGCATACATGATTCTAGCAGTGTATATAATATTAATGAACTTGGTCTTTTTTAACACTTAATCAACTGAGACATGCATTTGATGATATCCATCGTGTGCAAACTGCGCTGAAACTATACAGATTTAACTAAACCGCTTCAGTTTGATTTTGAGTAAGATACGATATCCGAACATTAGGGTCAATCAGCAACTATTCGTAATGTAACGTAAAATAAATAGCTTTAGATTGCATGTCGGTACACGATCGGTAGCTTTGAGGTGCTTCACCCACAGCGAAAATTTTGATCCTGGTTTTTCGTTAGAAACACTCGTAGCAGGTAAAGAATTATCTGCGCTTTGGTAGTCTAAACCTGAATGCACAAGTAAATGAATGGCTATTGTTAACTCACATAAAAGCTCAATTCACCTATCAAACTACGGTTATCTACGTCGTACTTTTTCCGCAGTAGTTGACTGGCTCCACATCACTGACGCCTCGTGTTTCCCACTTGTGAAACGCTCGTTTAGTGTGCGCACTGTATGGTTCAACGTCAACATGACCAACTTTCTGGTAAAGTGCTTATGAATCAAAAGGGCTACGGAGGCGAAATATGTGCAGAGCGAGCTAGTGCAAACCAAATGTAAAACACAAGCCGGCAAAAGTGTAGGGGAATTTAATTTATATTTCCAGTATTAGGATAGGGATGCCATAATGTTAAAACAGACAACCCATTTATGAGAAAATGCCAATGTTGTTGAAATTAAAAAGCAAAAATTTAGATGAAAATTACCTGTCCTTGCTCGACCATATGCGTCACGTGTATTGCGAAATTACAATAGTTTGTATGGCAGCAGTTTGATGGTTAAAAGTTATGTTGATGTGGATTGTTGAGGGTGATATACAATGGAATGCTTATCATTCCCTCCTCTACCAATATCTCTATCGCTGGTGTAGTGATGTATTTGTGACTAACAGGACGATAATTGTATGTGTCTAGACATGCGTTACGTCTATGTGGCATACTGTCAATCAGCGGGAGTGACATTAATTAATTAGCATGGCAAATTTATTTTGACGCAAGGTTAGAATATCTGGGGTAACAAATATATGCACAGTGGACAGAAGCCCATATGCTCAATGGAAGTCAGGCCTATGGTATGTGTTAACTGTGTAAGAGGTGGTTCGCAGGCCAAATTCACTGAGATGTTGCCCATTTACGGCCTGAGGTACCGCTGCTGCGCAAGCTGTCATAACCCGTTAATATTAAGCAATACCTTTGAACAATTAGACAATTTTGTGAGGATCACACCCGCCTTTACTGTTGTTGATAAGCGCATAGAGATATCTCACGCATCTGGTATGTTAAGCAACTAGTATAAGTTTCGTATCGAAGGACAAAGTGGAGAGTGCTGTGCCACCTGCTGTCCGCTCAAATGCATCATGCAGCCGTAGACTAGTGGCACTGGTTTTGAAATCGGTATTTGCAATATTTTACAAGCTAAGGAGAACGAGACAAACGTACAACATTTGAACGAGATGCGTAAACGCTGCTTGGTAGTTACGACGGCGCAACACAGCAGTTGAAAATTGCCTTTGCTCCTATTCCTGAAAATCAGTATGTAGATCCGTGCGCAACAACACATACGAGACTAAGGTGCTCCGATGTGTAGGGTAATTTAGTTAACCTTGGTTGGTGGGAGAACAGCTCTAAGGAAATTGGCTTCGTGGAAAGCAGGTGCTGCTGACGGGCGCCTATTACAGCGTAAAGACAAAGGCTTTGCACAATGTAAACTTATGTGGGCATCAGTACATATCATGCGGTCACTGTGGCTCGTATGCTGATTCAGTTGACCTAGTTTGCTAGGCGTATCGAGGATTTAACCAAATCAAGAGGTGGCTGGCTACTGCGATGATCGTATTCTAACTAGCAAATATGTTAACAGCCGCGTCCCGCCTCGCAGTAACGCCTTAAATCATCACGTAACATGGCTACAAACGGTGGTGCTAATATTACGGTATCTGTGATACAGCTGCTTACGAATGCCTACACGATGAAATACATCACAAAGTTTAATAAACTAGAATCGATCTGTACTACCTTCCCATATCTCATCTACAGACTAGCCGAAACCAAGAACCTCTGTTTTAGGGATTGTGTTGAGAAGGCGGCGTGAAGTATAGAGTTTGGTTCCGATGCTAATATTAATCTGATTTCTAATATTAGCGAATTCCGTGCGAACGTATATCTATAAAGCAATAAGCTGGAGCGTGTTCGTCTACCACCTTTTGTCAAGCTAAGCCTTTGGCTTTACGCAGTAATAGCCGCACGTCAACAGCACCTGGTTTCTACGAAACCAATTTCATTAGAGCTGTTCTCACACCAAACAACGTTAATTGGTTTACCTACACATCGGAGCACCTTAGTCTCGTATGTGTTGTTGACGTTGAACGCTGCAGTGCGCTCACCAAACGAGCGTTTCACAAGTGGGAAACACGAGGCGTCAGCGATGTGGAGCCAGTCAACTACTGCGGAAAAAGTACGACGTAGATAACCGTAGTTTGATAGGTGAATTGAGCTTTTATGTGAGTTAACAATAGCCATTCATTTACTTGTGCATTCAGGTTTATAGTGGGACCGCGCGGATAATCCGTTACCTGGTACGAGTGCTTTCAACGAAAAACCACGATGAAATTTTCGCTGTGGGTGACGCACCTCAAAGCTACCGATCGTGTACCGACATGCAATCTAAAGCTATTTATTTTATTTTAAATTAGGAAGAGATTCTGATTGACCCTATTTTCTCGCAGCGGAACCCTCATTTTCGGATATCGTATTTTACTCAAAATCAAACTGAAGCTGTTCACTTTCAGCGCAGTTTGCGCACGATGGGTGTCATCAAGTCCATGCCTCAGTTGATTAAGTTTTAAAAAAGACAAAGTTGTGTAATATAAATAAACACTGCCAGATGCATGAATGCACGCATATTTCTAGCGAAGTTGCAAACCGGTAGCTTGGTGCTAATAGGATTTCCGCGATACATTTGCTGAAGTAATTTTCTGAGTTGTTTTATAGTATTACTGACTGTCTGCACAGTGGTATGCGGGCGGTCTGCAGCTGAGTTCACCTACCTTGGATGAATTTGCTTTTGTTTGGTGGGAAGTAAATCTGTGTCTTAGCTCCTGCCGCGTCTAAAATGTTCTAGGCCATGATGCCTTATACTTTTGATTCAGCTTGTGATTATGATGTCCTTGATTAGCACCGTAGTGATGGTAGATTGCTAAACATTCGTCGTTTCGGGGCGAAATCATTATTCTGTGAGACAACTATCCGTATATTGATGGTTGCTGACGACTGTGCGTTGTTTGCACACAGTGCAGATGTGTTGCTGTACATGACTAGCTATTGCTTCGACAACGGCTAAATCCGGGCTCACCATCAACACAAGCTAAGCTGTCTGTCCCTTTCAACCTTCAAACGAAGTGTATTCAGAATTGGTGACGCGAATCAGCATTGGTTATGTGTTATTGGAAAACAACTTCCGCTTCTGCTACCTTGGGAGTGTGGTGTTGACTGACCAGCAGCTACACCGAGAGCTTCGTATCCGCGTATTGTAAACAGTAGCGGTATTCAGGAAGCTTGAGTTCCGGGTTTGGGACAACCACCAGCTTACAGTTTGCATGATCCTGATGGTGTGAGGTTTCTTGAGCGGTGGCTGGGTCATGTTTGTCCTATGAATTTGACGCGGATACTGAAGAAATTATTATATGGTCAGCTGAGTGTGGGAAGTGACTTGCGGGGCAACGGAGTGGAAACGCAGTGGCACCAGCTGCTGGCATCCTAAAGTCATGTGGGCGGAACCCGGCAAAGGCCCGCACGGAAGCGCATCACCGACGAGACCCAAAAGGTCAAAACGACAGCGTCCGGGGCTTCTGCAGACTAGCTTCAGCCTGCTGATTAGGAGCGACGATGATGATTTAGCTGAATTATACTAAAATCCTAACTACTACTCATCAGTACTCATCATGATCAATATTAGCCCATCAGGTTCTGATCTTCATTGCGGGTCATGGGAAGCGAAGGCGGTTAATCGACATTTATGGATAGATCTGATCACGAATTCCGTTGCCGAGGTGCAAGAGATGGCCTTTAGCATGCAGAGAAGAATCGGCGTTTGCCGAAGCAACAGTCACTGATGGGGTGTGCTTCATCGACATTGAGCGCGTGGTACTGTAGCACGTTCGGTCGCAAATGCCTGAGTCAGGCAGTCCTAGTGATTCACGAGAGAGACCTCTCGGGCTCCGCATCAACAGGACGAGGTGTGGTGCTGACAGCGTAGACAGAATCGGTGAAGCGTTGGTACGTATGCTGCATGCGATTCACTAACCATGTGCTTGCATGCAGAGTTGCTTTATTTCAGGTGTTGGGTTTATTATCTTCTCTTAATGCTCCTTTGCGACTTCAATCTCAAGTCTATTTAGATACATTGTTTAAACTTATACGTCGCTTAAGCCAATTGTGTTTAGGTTTATTAACATTTTCGCTATTGTGGCATATTTTATAGATGGCATTTTTGACACGTTAAATTTTCGCGGATTTATCATTGACCAAGCTAGTACATATGAATCTTTCTCGTAGCGTTAAGTCATCATTTCTGTACGAATAATCGAAATATATTATTTGTTCTTTTCACGTTATGCTTTTGGTGGTAATTTCACATCCCCGGTGGGCTGCGCTTGATTTGCATGTTGACAAGATATATATCTGTCAACTACCCACTTCCAAATCGATACTGGCTCCAGGAGATA